GATGGCACAAGCGTGTATCACGTATGGTAATTGACTACTTGACTCTTTGGAAATGTATGACTACCAACCGTCACCCCAAGCTATGGGTTAAATAGTAGGACTTGTATCTGGAAAAATCATTGTCATTCTTAGAATTCACACTATGTTTCGGTTCAAATAACCCATAAAGGTTTGATAAGCTGTAAAAAATCAATTATCCATCTTTATCTCATTTAATTTACTATTGTGTAAAGAAACTGTGATATTATTTGTAGTCATAATTTAGTCCTGATGAACTCTCCTTATGTGCAGCTGGTGTAGTGGATAACTGTTTGGAATAAGAAATTGGAGTGTCGAGTTCGAATTTCAATCGAGTTCATTGTATTCACTTCCGCACAAATTTGCCTAGGAAATGTATGAACCCTCTCTTCTCTCCCCGGCTATAGGTTAATAGTAAGAATTGTATTAGGAAAGATCGTTATTATGTCTCCAAAACCTTCGAATGCAATATTCACTTGTAAAATGTAATATTTTTTGCCATGCGATATATATATATATATATATATATATATATATATATATATATATATATATATATATATATATATATATATATATATATATATATATATATATATATATATATATAATTCTCCCGTCGGGTTCGATGTATGAGGGTCAAGCAAATCAGTTTCCAGGAAACTGACAGCCTGACACCGGCACATGAGATTCGATTATATTGGTGAAGGTTTTGTGCAGGACCATCCACACTTTTTGAAGGGCCGAATGCAGAGACCTGGTGCACTACGTGCCACACTGTCCCCAAACGATCCTCTGCAGGTTTCGAATTCAGAGTTGTCCTTCTCCTAGACCAGTTGCCATCCAAGGCTATAGAACCCAGTCTGTCCTGCTATTTTACCCATAGCTTGGGGAGACGGTTGGAAGCACGGTAGAAGCATGAAAAAATCGATTATTTCCACTGTCGATGGGAGTTGGGAAATGCAATGTCGGTCTTGGCCTTCTCGCTAACTTGGAGCATGTGCATGTAAATTTTGGCGCAAATCCGTAGAAAATTGCGGCCGTGCATTCGTTAGACACACACACACACACACACACACACACACACACACACACACACACACACACACACACACACACACACATCCTGTCTTTTATAGATAGAAATACATTAAAATTCCCAGAACAATTCTGTGAATTCGTATAAAAATGACAATAGAAAAAAATCTTAGTTTTTGCCGACGCGTTTCGTCTTCCGATTTTATCAAGACAAAAATGAAAGCGAAATATTTTTGTTTTCATAATTACATTAAATCCAAAATTGATAAAAAGGGAGACGCTCCTGCGTTAACCTCTTTCTGGCTAATGTTAGCTTTCTTTATATTTTTCTTATTGTCATTATACTATATTGTGGACATGGGGGAAAAAAAACCCCAAAAAACCCAAAAAAACAAAACAAAAATAAATCTCTTAGTATAAAGGAAGTCAGCATTAGCCAGAAAGAGGCTTACACAGGAGCGTCTCCCTTTTTATAAATTTTGCATTTAATGTAACTACGAAAACGATAACTATCTATCGATTCCTATTGAAAAAATAAAAAAAAATAGATAATAGTAAATAAAATTTCTGAGTTTTGACGGAGTCATCAGAATTATAGTGTGAAAGTAGCCTTTAGAAGGAACCGGAAATACAATACTAACCCGGAAACAAAGGACAAACCTCTAATCCTGTTCATTAGACCGAGAAGTTGTGTGAACCAGGCGATAGGTAAACAATCTTGATATCTTCATACTGATATTTTCCCTTATGTACTGGTTTGATTTATTTGTTTTTTACGTCTTATCAACCCTTTGTTGGCTAGTTATTTTGGATTGTAAGAATATTTTTTTTTGCGTGCGAATATTGTATTAACATATTTTAAGGTAATATAAAGTTAAATATTTAGTTCTGGGAAGAAGAGATGGATTCATGCCTTTCCCAACGATATTTGCGTGTAAGTGAATATAACGAACCCAACTGGAATTCGAACTCGGCTGTCCGATATCCCATTCCAAGCTGTTAACCATTACGTCAACATCCTGTTTGTTAGGGAAAGCAAATTGAATTCGACTTAGAGACACATCAAAGAGGAGGAAAAAAATGAACGCGTGGATGATAAGTTGAAATTTAAAAGATCAACACTGATTCGTTAGGCAATTTTCAAAGATGATGTATCAGTTCGAAAACATTGATTAATGACGCAGAACTGATGAAGAATAAACAGCAAATTTAAAGGGAAGCTGGTTGTAATGACTCAACTGAAGCGTTCTCTCTAGAATTTATCATCAGAAAGTCGTTATAGAAGAAGTAAAGGAAGAATCAATAATTAAATTGAATCAAACGCAACGAAAATGTGACAAAAAGTTTGGACTAAAACAGAAAAAAGAAAAGAAAAGAAAAAATCCCTGGGATCTCAGATTTGTAGAAATTATTTTTTTTCCTTTTTAATTTCTCTACGAACGGTATTTATCTAATCGTGGAGGAGGAAATAGCTCTTGAAATCTGAAATCTCCTCGAATAAACAAAAAAAAAAAAAAAGAAGTAAAAACAAACAAACAAACAAACAAAACAAAACAAACAAAAATGAAAAAAAAAACAAAAATAATTATAATGAATTATTTTCAAAAATGATTTTTTCCCATTTTATAAAAGGAAAAATGTTTGGAAATTCCTAATGAATGAATAAAAGATGGGGAAAGTTTAATGAGGTGAGATTTTGATTAAAAAGAAAATATACTTCCAAAGTTGCACTCACACACATACACTCATACACACACAAACACACACACGCAGATATACAAATATTTAAAATGTAATACGAACCAACTACAAATGGCAAAAAGTCTGAGGCCACCCAGCATTTCTTTAAAAAACGAGATATCTTTGTAATTTTTTTAAAACTAAAAGACTAAATTTCAGTAACTTCAATGTATTTGCTTTTATTTTAACAGAAATACTCACTTAACTATCAAACAAGAGCTCAAATTTTGTTTTCGTCAAAAAACCACCACCTGCCTTTCTTGGGTGTCTTTCCAACAGTTTTCTTTTTTAAAAAGTAGATAGCGTCATTCTTCAAGCACTGAAAAAAAGCTTACTCTCACGCTTTGGATATTCTCTTCGAACTTTTGTATCCAATTCTCACCTCCATACTAATTCACTGTGAGAGAGATCAGGAAATTGAGGAGGCAAAGTCATAATTTCCAATATTTGGTTCCTTTTCTTTGACTTGTGGTAATTTAGAAGAGTGTTTTGAATCGTTCTCTTGTTGAAATGTGAATTTTTTTTTCCAGTTATGCATAAAGGAAATGGTTTAGCATGTCTTTGCAAAATAGAATGATATTGTTCGTTTTAAAGATTCCCCCTTGACCAAAATCAAATCCCCACCCCCAAATCACCATAACAGACCCAGCGCCATGTTTAACAGTTGGAACAACACATTCGTCATTCAATCTTTCTCCTGGTTTTCTTTTCACATACACTCTTCTCTTACTACGAAAACGTTCAAATTTGGATCGGCTTTTTGGACTTTGTCTTGCTACTCTTTTAATGTTCAGTTCCCATGCTTTTTTTGCCCATAACAGTTTTTTGTAGGAGGTCCATTTTCTGTAACAGGGCTCCCCTGAGCCTTGCTGATCTAAAACAATTTCTCTCAGTTCAGTGGTTGCTCTCAACACTGGAGACGTTTTTTTTCTATTTCTTTTGCTCTCAATAAGCAAGTGTTTCTCTTCACCAGAAATTGTCACTTTAACTGCACCTGCTATTTTTTTCAGTCACTTTTGCCAGACAGCCTTTAAAACGAATATGGTAGAGAAAATTCTTTAAACAGGGAGAGCGAAGTTTTCTTTACAAAATTGGTCAGTGTTGAGTTAACATTTAAAACCGATATTAGCATTTAACCTAGTGGAAAACTTTTTTGTTTGAGGGGTTAAAGGCGAAAAAAATAAATAAAACATACAGGGTATTTATAATTTAACAAAATATATTGTAGACAGATGAATCTAAATTTGAACATTTCCGTAGTAAGAGGAGCCTGGAGGAAGGCTAAAAAATAAATACTGAAATATGTTTTACTTAAAAAATACAAATGTATCTCATTTTAAAGTGTGTTTTAAGAAATGCTGAATGCTACCAAACTTTTGCCTTTATTATATATATATATATATATATATATATATATATATATATATATATATATTTATTTTATTTATTTATTTATTAAAGACATTTTTATGTTTAACGTTCTTTTTTATAGATACAAGTATTTAAGTAAATGCTCTGTTTATAATAAACAGTATTAAATAACATTTACTGGTCTGTATTTATTATATATATATGTTATATGCGTATATATTATATATGTTATATATATTACATATATATAATATATATAATATATACGCATATATATATATATATATATATATACATATAACATATATACACATGTAATATATATACATACAACCATAATATATGTATATATACACACACATATAAAATATATAAACACATATGTATATATATACATAATATATATATCATGTATATATATATTATATATTGAACTTTTGGAAGTAAAGTCTGATGATCCAGAGCCCTTTAAAAGGGTTGTGGTGAAAATAACTTATTACATGGAACCTTAAAGTGGTCTGTTTTTATTCATATATATATATATATATAAAATACATATATACATAAAAAAAATTATTTAAATTAAATATGCTACCAGGCGAGGTTCGATCCTGCGTCTCACTGTTATAGGCGAACCCAACGTCTGATCTGTGTTTAAAAGTGATATGGCCGGAAGCCATACCAACCGCACGTCAAAGCTTACAATACCTGGTATACTTAAGCGCTCACCTATCTAAGTACTGACCAGTGTCGATGTTGCTTAGCTTCAGGGATCATGCGAGAACCGGTGTCTTAACATATGGCCGTAAGACATACCACATGCACATCCTAGATTCCAGTACCTGGTATTCTGAAGTGGTCACCCATCTAAGTACTAACCAGACATGATGTTGCTTAACTTCGGGGATCATACGAGAACCGGTGTGATATGCCCTTTAGCAACACCAGCCGCATATCCACAGCTTACAGTACCTGGTATTCTTAAACGTTCACCCATTTAAGTACTGACCAGGCATGATGTCGCTTAACTTTAGGGATCAAACAAGAACCAACGTGAGATGGCCGTAAATTGAAGTTTACAGTACCTGGTCACTCATCTACTATAGTGGAACACACCTATTCTATAGTTAATAGACTCTCCCACCTATAATAAGTAGGAGTATTAAGAGTAACGAGTGGATCGCTCAGTCAGTCGACAGGCTGATCGGTTGAAGTCTCTGCTTTCAGGCGGGGAGGAACCCGAAGTAGGCTACGCCGAAGGGCGGATTCTCTTTCGGGGAGGTAAACCGACCCTGAACCCGTTTAAACTGGTTCAATGGGCATATTTTGGGGCGAGCTCACGGGCTCGGAGATCCCACGTTAAAAAGGCCTTGTGCCATATGATGCCCTGGTGGGTGGGGGTGACTAAATATCGTCGCTCAATCAGTCGGTGCCGGACGACCGTTAGTCGGATACTAAAGTATCAGCGACCGCAACTAGATTACTCTGCGGCATTACCTATTATATCAAGTTCCTAACGTTTTGTACGTCGAACCTATTTTAGGACCGACTTAGTACAAATACAAGCCTCCACTGTGAAACCACTCCATAACATCTAAATACTGACCAGGCTGGCTGTTGCTTAACTTCGGGGATCATACGAGAACCAGTGTTTCAACGTAATATGACCGTAAGCAATACCAGCTCCATATCTAAAGCTTACAGTACTTGGTATTCTGATGTTGTCACCCATTCAAGTACTGACCAAGATCGATGTTGCTTAACTTCGGGGATCATATGAGAACTGGTGTTTTATGACCGTAAGCAATCCAAAGCTTACAGTACATACTTGAGAACAAGTTAAGCGATAGCATTATGAGAAATTTGTAATAACGAAAAACATTAATTTAACATAAAAAAAGATTTTATTTCCTTCCTTGTCAATGCACTTAATTCAGTGATGAATATTAATCTTATACAAGGAAAAAATTTCGATAATAACATCATCATCATCATCTTGCGGCTTCAGTTGAGATTGAACTCACTACACCTTTCCAGTATTCCTTATCTGTCATAGCTAATACTTTGATTGGTATAGTTCATAATCTTGTCAAATAGCTGAATTCTTGATGCTTCGCTAGGGCTATCAAGGGTGTTTTTATCGTGACACCATCACTAAATGGATTGCCAACAAAGGCTCAGAGAGACTCCATTCACCCTCATCTAAGATCATTGAAGGGACGAATACAGAGACCTGGTGCACCGAATGCCACAAGGTTCCCAAATGACCCTCCGCAGGTTTTGAATTCAGAATTGTCCTTCTCATAGACCAGTTGCCATCCAAGGCTATAGAACCCAGTCTGTCCTGCTATTTTACCCATAGCTGTAGGGAGAGGAAGAGGATTCATACCTTTCCCAAGGGTATTAGCATGTAAGTGAATGTATTGGATTCGACTGGAATTCGAACTCGGCTCTGCGATTCCTCAATCCACAAGCCGCTATCCATTACTCCACCATGCCTCCTAAACAACATATCAGGTTACATACTTATTGATACGCATTTGTATAAATGGAAGTAAACTCTTTGTATGGGCCATTTGTTGTGTAATGGCGGTATTTAGTCACTCCCCTCACGTGGGCATCCTGTGGCACAAGGCCGGTTTAACGTGGGATCTCCGAGTCCGTGGTCTCGGCCAAAAATATGCCCATTGAACCGGTATAAATGGGTTCAGGGTCGGTTTAAAGAAAAAGAGAATCCGCCCTTCGGCGTAGCCTCTTTCGGGTTCCTCCTCGCCCGAAGGCAGAGAGTTCAACCGAACAGCCGGTCGTCCGACTTCAGACTGAACTCAGACCGAACCGCTGAGCGACTAGCAAGGTTTCCTCGCTAGATCAATTACGACTGAGTAGCGAGTTCGATTCACACTTTCGATCTTGTGCCACATCTAAGCTTCGCTTAAGAAAAAGGTACTTTGACGTGGTGTAACGTTTAGCAAGCTTGTCCCTTTAGATCAATAACAACTGACTTGTGAGATAGATTCCCAGTGGGTGCTCCAAAATTTCAGCCTTGAGCCATATCTAAGCTACGCTTAAAAAAAAGTACTTCGCCGTAGTGTAAGGGTTAGCAAGCGTGTTCCGTTAGATCGATTATAACGGAGTAGTGAGTCCGATTCTCACTGGGTGCTCCATGCTTTCAGCCTTGTGCCACATCTAAGCTACTTTAAAAAAAGGTACTTCAACGTGTTGTAAGCGTTAGCAAGCTTGTCCCATTAGATCAATTACAAATGAATAGCGAGTTCGATTCTAACTGCGTGCTCCACGTCTAAGCTACGCTTGTGCCACATCTAAGCTACGACTTGGCGTAAGGGTTAGCTATCTTGTCCTGTTAAATCAGCTACAAACCACTAGTGAGTTGGATCCTCACCGCTTGCTTTAAGCGTTCGGCCTACGCTCAGAAAATCCCCATTGAGCAAAATCGTAACTTTTTCGTTCAGCCAATTTATATTATTGACTTGGTTCTTTTATTTAAAAAAAACATAAAACACCTAAAATTATTAAAATTCAGAAATTCTTAAATATTACAGATCTGCAGAATTAAAAGAAAAGATTATAATCCCAATAATAAATCATATTTAAACAAGAATGACAATAAATAAACAAGTAAATACATAAAAAGTAAGCAACCACCGATTAAAAAAGAAAAAAAAAATACGGGCATTGAAATATTTGAATCTGCGGGCATTTCAACGAACAAAAGCAATCAATCACTCTCCCTGTGAAATAATAAAATTGCAAACGTCATCCGAAAAAGAAACTTTTTTCTCCACAAGAAACGATTCTATGAAGTGTTTCTCCACATATTATTTAAGCCATGATTCATACAAGTATTTCGATCTTAACAAAAAAAAAAAAAAAAAAAAATGGCGGTTTAGAAAGCGGGAAATGGAAGTGACAACGAATTAATTGGGTGTACAAGTAGCGCGACAGCTATAGTCACAGACAGTGGAATTGGCGAGTCTATTACATTCAGATGACCTCGGAAAAGGCATGAATCTTTCAAATCACTCAGCTATGGGTTAAATAACAAAGTGTGTTAAAAATGGTATATATTGGCCCAGTTTATACTTGTGTAAAGTGGTAGACATTCGCTCAGTTTATAATAGAGCGAAAAAAAAAAAAGGTAGACATTGGCCCAGTTTATACTTGGGTCAAAAAGGTAGACATACGACTAGCTTCCATTCGATTGAGAAAACGAAAACTAGACAAATGTCCTGGTTACACTTCAGGCAAAAAAGAAAACTGTAGACATAGGGCCGCTTTACGCCGGATCAAACCGGAAACGCAATCCTGTTTTTGGATTGCGTTTCCGGTTTCTTCCAAAGTCTACTTCAACTCTATAGTCCTAACGTCTTCGCCTGAACACTGAAATTTGGTTCACGGGTTATTATTTTTTCTTCTCCCCTACTAGGAGTAGACAGGTCCGTCTATCATCCAGTTCCCACTGCTTCTCGGTTTATCTCTTGTTTCCTGTTTAGGACTGGGTTTCCGGTCCTTTCTAAAATCTACTTCAACTCTATACTCCTAATGTCTCCGACTGAGCTCTGAAATTTTATTCACTAATTAAATCTCTTCAAGTATGTGATCGACCGTTGTCTTTCCTGTTTTACCTCAATAACAGCATTTTTCCCTTTCTTACTCTGCACAGCAATCCTCTACCTCGAGTGGCTCTAGGGATTTGTATTCGGTGAGTATTAGTAAAAAAAAAAGAAAAAAAAAGAAAAAAGAAAAAGTACTCCTTGCAAACACTGAATATTTAAAGAAATTAAACCAAAGAAATCATTCTCTTCAGATAATATAATTTGATAGTTTGTATAATATGATAGTATTATATGCATTTTATAAGTATTTTATTGTATTTTAAATTATAATATTATCATATTATTATCTATATAATCTATATACAGTGTAACCCGGATATAAGAGAGTTGTCGGGACAGAAGAGATAGGTTTCTCTATATCAGGTTTCTCTTATATCCGGGGGTTTTATCTACATTAAACGGGTTTCTCTTATATCCGGGTTTGGTTTTTATTTTATATACATTAACACAGGCTCTAATTTGGGACCAGAGAACATCTCTCTTATATCCAGGCTCTAATTTTTCTCTTATATCCGGGTTTCTCTTATATCCGGGTCTCTTATATCCAGGTTACACTGTATCATATATATATATAATATATATAAATATTGTTTTTTTTTTATAAATATCTATATTAATTTATATAAATATAATTTATATTTAAAATTTAATTTATATAAATATTTATATAAATATTATTAAAAATATATATTATCGATATATCAATATTATCTAAATTATACTAAGGCAATATTATCATATTGTATTTATAAGTATTTTATTGTATTTTATAAGTATAAGTATAATGTAATATAATACATCGATAGTTTGTATAATACATTTATATAATATATAGATGCAATCTACACACGAGGAATGAGTGTTAATAGAACGACGAAGAGGCCTGATCAAAATAACAATGGCGATCAAGTATCTTATTGAATAATTACGATTGGTACAAGCCGAAATGCAGCGATCAAAACTATCAGGATGAGGATACTAGTTTGAATAAGTCATAACATACTTCAGGGTTTGACACAAGAAATAACATAATGGCAAAACTATACGTATGAATAAGTACAGAATTAAAACTTAACTTAGCCGATACGATGGACTTTATCAACGCAAATATATGGATTTTATTTTTTTTGTCTTGATAATGTCTATCAGTTAAGATATTATCTACATTATATATAAGACTAGATTATACTATATATATATATATTAAGAAATGGACAAGGTCCGACAATTTATTTATTAAAGACATTTTTATGTTTAACGTTGTTATTTATAGATACAAGTATTTAAGCAAATGCTCTGTTTATGATAAACAGTATTAAATAACATTTACCGGCCTGAATGTCCGAGAAATTTTCATAGAAAATATTCGTTCTTTGACAGGATTCGAACCTGCATCCTATACGGAACCGTCATTTACGCTGACGTGCCTTAAACTTCAATTCGACCTTGTCGACCGAAAGGTTCTTTGTGGCCGAGACGGTTAAGGCACGTCAGCGTAAATGACGGTTTCGTATGAGATGCAGTTTCGAATCCTGTCAAAGAACGAATATTTTCTATGAAAATTTCTTGGACATTCTGTTATTATAAACAGAGCATTTACTTAAATACTTGTATCTATAAATAACAACGTTAAACATAAAAATGTCTTTAATAAATATATATATATATAATGTCATTCGCAGACAGACACCTAGTATTTATTTTGCTGTATAACAGCCCATCAGTGCGATTAGACAAACGAATGCTTCAAGGTAGGATCAAAATCCGACCGATCTGGTATCAGTCGGACTTTCTACACCCAAGCCACCGGCGTTTCGCCAGAGAAGAAAGACGTATTGTTTTTACAAATATCAACAAACGCCAGACAGCCAGAGTGTTCTATTCAGTAATGGAGAGCAATGCATTAACGCTGACAGCTGTTGTTTATAGAATTCGGCCATCTCTCAACAGTGCTCAACCGAAAGTTTTTCGATCTGTATATATATATATATATATATATATATATATATATATATATATATATTGATAATAAGAAGATGGAGACTTTAGTTATCCATTTCGTTTATAATTTTTATTTCATGAACACCGAGATGTTCATCTATTCAGATTGAAAACCTGGTCCGCGAATGGAGAAATTACACTGGATGGATATTTTCACTTGGTAG